AAAGGAATAACACTTTCCAGCATACAGAGGTACCCAGTAGGCACACCTCCACTCTACAAGATAAAATAATAATAATAATAATAAAATTATTTGCCATAGTAAGAAGCCTCTCAACAAAATCTGGAATATTTTAAGAAAAGCCTACTCTTTTTCTACCTCCATTCTCTTTCTTTTTCAATCTCCTTTCCTCTCCTCTCTCTCTGCTATTTTCTCCCCTCCCTTGCCCTGTTTCCCTCACTCACTCACTCACTCACTCATACATTAAGTCTAGGAACTAAATAAACCAGGATCCCAAGGACAGTAAGTGTCACCTTTTACTTTAACATATTTAAGACATACCTGACATCACTAAACCTACAAAAGTCTTCTGTAAACAGCAAAGACATTTTCTACTTTGCCTCCTCAAATTTGTGTACAAAACCACAAAATCCACATACTGACTTCCTGATTCACATCAGAAGACAAGGAAATACTGATACACACTTACATGCTATTGATTATCTCTGCAATACTAGTGGCTCAGGTCCAATTCTCTGGACTAGTGCTCTATTCCTTTTACCTTACCTACCTAATCATATTTAAAGTCATACTCCTTTTAGTTTCTAGGACCAACAATGTTCAGAAGAGGATAGATTTACACATTGATACAAGTTAACTTCAACTCAGCACTTTGAAAGCTCAGCAGTAAAGCTACATATTAATGATGGCAGGGCTGCCCTGGAAGGAGAAGGGTGTGCTAAGGAGCCCACAAAGTAACATGTGATTAGAAACTATCTTGTGTTGCTCTCCAGAGAAATTGTGTGGGTGATCCTAGTTCCCCAACCCAACGGTGAACTCTGAGGGCAGAAGCTACGTCTTATATTAAAGTCTTCATGGTACCTGCCACACAGCTGAGCACACAGTGGGTACTCATACAATCCCTACTGGATCTGAACTAACACTATGTGGATAAATTTCAAAGTATTCTGCGGCAGCACACAGAGAAGTGAACAGAGCGGGTCTGACTCTTCTATAATGGGCACTGCAAGTAAGCCCTATAACTGACTATACAGCTAATGAAGGGAGATGTTCATCACAAAGTAGCCCAACAGAGGAACTTAACATGTAGTAACCATTCGTTCCAACCTAGAGCATAAGCACGTAGACATGTGTTCAGGAAGGAGATGTTATCCTGAATTGAAATTACCTGTTTGCTTGTCTGTCTCCCTATAAGCTCCCTGGGGTCTATGATCAACTGTTTTATTTTTGTAATTCCAACAAGTAGCACAGTGTCTGGACATTCTAAGTGCACAATAAATGCTAGTGGATTGACTACTAGTGAATGAATAAATGAAAGGTTTAATGAAGCAATATAAAGAAAATTGTAAGCAACATAACAAAATTTAATAGAGAAATGTTCATAGAATCATGTATTTATCACATTATAGCCCCTGCCACTTTGTGCTATGACTGCTTAGCAACTGTTAGTGTCTTGAGTGATTGAGTTAATTAATTAATGAGAAAAATGAAAAGAAAAGGTAGGAAATATATCAAGATATTACTATTCTCGGAATGGTGAATGTCCCATCGCAGCCTGTAGTAGCAGCATTTATCACTCCACATTGTAAATCATCTGTTTACCTGCTAGTCTCGCCCACTAGAATGTGCATTCCTCGAGATTAGACTATCTTTTTCATCTCTCTAAAAGTGCCTTATAAAGACTAGGCACAGAACAAATGTTGAGGGTGTTGGTTCAATAAATGAATCAATCATTCCAGCTCTTCTATAGATTTCACTGTACCTGAGTATTCTACCCAGTCCACGTTCAGGGGTCTCTTGTATGGAAAGAATGGAGAAGAACTGTCATTTTCCTCATGTAGGACTTTATGGCAGATACAGATTAAATGGCCTGGTATGTTCTCTACTGTGAGTGGGCCTCTCACTTGTTTGAACGGGTTCAACAGTTAAACTCTCCAGGACTGCATATTGGAAATATACACTGAACCTCACCATACTGTAGTATATGCTATCTTGGTCCTGACTAGTCCTACACACTATATATGTGTGATTTTTTTCAAACAAAGAGGAATACCTGGTTTTGTGGGTCAGGAACAGGATCAGAAATGAAACTCTGAATGACAATCCTAAATAATTGAAGTAATACTTTGTTTCATTCTACCCATTGGGGAATCTCAGAAACGACACCAAGGCCTTAGGAAAACCACACAGACATAGTCATGTGTCTTGCATCCCCTAAAAATATTCCACAGACACCAGAACAATCATTTCTCTAGTGCCTTGAGTTTATTGCATAAATGATCATCAAGCCCTTAGGATTCAACCTTTTGTCCAGCTCCACAATCATCAGCATTCTCAGCAAATGAACCAACAACTTTGGTATCTTTTACCTCCAGTGTTCAAATGGCCAATAGAATAGTCTAATCACACCACTTTGTAGGTCTGATCTATACAGAACCAACTTAAATTCCTCTTAGGTTATAAGTGCCTAGGAAGACACACTCAGGTGTGCAGGCGTTTACTGCAGTGATTCTCCAATTGTTGTCTAGAGAAAATGTCTACCACCTGTAGAGCATCTATGAGTCAGGCCCTTTATATTACACAATGTCATATTATTGTTTGGAACAAATTTTCATGTATATGTGGCCATTTTATAGATGACGAAAACGGAGATTCAGACATTCCATAGCAAGAGGTGAAACCTAGATTCAGAATCACGGTCTGTCTGATTTCACTACACAGTACTACTTCTGTTTCTCCAGATGTACTATTTTTTAGTAGAATTCCTTGACATTAGTAATTATAATTGTGCTTACTTAGCACAACACTGGACTGTCAATATTCTTATTTATAGATTTATGGATTGACTATATTGGTGATTTTGTTGCTGACACAATATTATTAATTTCTCATTAAAAGCACTGCTGCTTGGTTCTATAAATTCTGGTGGGAATTATTTTTCAGGGACTAGGAATAGTAATTGATGTAAGTGGTCCTAAAAACTCTTTGACCTATGGAATTAATATCAATACTATAAGGACATTTCATAGGCATCATTGCCTAAGTATGTCAGGCTAAATTATTCCTAAAGCAGGAATCCATTGCCACCGAATCAATTCCAACTCCTAGTGACCCTATAGGACAGAGTAGAACTGCACCATAGAGTTTCCAAGGCTGTAATCTTTACAAAAGAATATTGTCATATCTTTCTCCCATGGAGCAGCTGATGGGTTTAAACCACTAACCTTTTGGTTAGCAGTCAAGTACTTTAACCACTTTACCACCAGGGCTCCATTTAGCAGGAAGGTGGACCTAATAGACACTCACCAGGAAGTCCCTGTGAGAGTCCTCCCTCTCTCGCTGACCTGCTCTGTGACTCTGAATAAGACACTTAGCATCTCTAGATTTCAGGTTCATCATCTACTGAAGGGCAGTGTATCAAGACACCTGAAAATGAGAATCAACGATAGTGGTAAGGATGTGGATGTGCTCTACAAGTGTGCAGTATCCCTTTTATTAGTGGCCTGAATTCCCAACCAAAGAAGAACTTAAGAAATTCATGGAAAAATGAAATCAACTTCAGAACTTTTATCTATAGCCATCCCCCCTGCCACCCACCTGCCATCATCTGCATATACCACCAAGTATCCTGAAATATTTCAATATCCAGCAAACATTTGACCTCATAATGTTTCCATCCATTCAAAAATACTCATTCCCAGTAAAGTCAAACAGAGCTAATTCAAGTGCATAATTAATTCCTGAAAATTCCCTTTAATGAATTCCAACCTCCTCATCTGTCAGATGTTACCACCAGAACTGCTAAAATAAAAATGGTAAAGTGTAGTTTTGAGCTGTTTTGTTTCGTTTTTTGCCTGCCTCCCCTTAACCAACCCATTCATAATTTGGGCAAGATGCTAGAAAACAGTGGTGAGACCAAAGCAATATCAAAGGGGGACGTTAGGAGGCTGGATCACTTTCTCTCTGGGTAACTGGTCCCTGAGTATTAGAGGGTTTCTTCCATTTTCAATACTACTTGACACTTTATAACTCACTGTGACAGATACACTGGAACCACTGACTGGCAAGCATGCTATATTTATAACCAAACCAACACCAAACCTGTTGCCATAGAGTTGATTCTAACTCATGGCAACTCTATGTTTCATAATAGAACTGCTACTCCATGGGGTTTTCAATGGCTATAATTTTATGGAAAATACCATGTATATACCAAGTATAACAAGGGTCGTGGAGCTGGCACAGGACAGGGCAGTGTTTCATTCTGCTGTGCATAAAGTTGCTATTAGTCGGAAACAACTCGACAGCACCTAACAACAACAATTTTATGGAAGTAGATTGTCAGGCCTTTCTTCCATTGTGCCTTTGGGTGGATTTGAATCACCAATCTTTTGGTCAGTGGTAGAGTGCAAATCATTTAGGTCACCTGGGACTTATATTTGCAACACACACATACTCACATAAAAGCATTGCCATCCAATAGATTCCGACTCATAGCAACCCTACTGGACAGAGCAGAATTGCCCATAGTGTTCTTTATGGAAGCAAGCTGCAGAACTGCCCCTATAAATCTTTATGGAAGTAGACTGGCACACCTTTGTCCCATGGAGTGCTGATAGGTTTAAACCACGGACCTTTTGGTTAGCAGCAGAGAGCTTAACCACTGCACCACCAGGACTTCTTATATTTGCAACAGGTACAGAAAATTTGCCTTTTGCCAGGGCATTGTACAAGGCTTCCAAGGGCTCAGACCCCTTGGGCTCCCGCTCCCAACACCCACCCCTACAAAGGCCCAATATGTTGGGTTACTCTTTGCCCTGGGAAGCACTGGTGGGAAACCCTGACCATTGAAGTGGGCATAAGCAGAAATGTTCTCCCCACCCCTTCTAGGGGCTGTGCCAGCATGGAGATGGATGGTGTCCAGAGAGCAGCTCAGAAAGGAATCCCAGGACAGACTTCACAGAGACATTTAGTACACTCACCTCAGGCAGAGGCACACCGTTGATGATCAGGTCTGGCTGCTGGGGACCCTGGCTGTTGAAAGAGTGATGGTAGATGTGGTTAGCGCTGGTATTGCGGGTATTCTGGTTCTCCACATTCAGAAAAGTGCTCTCAGAGCGGCGGCAGCCCAGGGGCAGCGTCTGCTGGTGGTAGTCGAAATAGTTGAGGGACGAGGTCAGGGAGGAGCAACTGACAACGTTCATCTTGTCTGTCTCCTCCACATCCCGGGGTACCAGACGGATGTCATTCTTACTGATTTTTTTCTTCTTGCTTGATTTCTTTTGATGCCCATAGGAGTACTCAGCGATTCTATGTGACAGAAAAGGCAGCATGAATAGCTAACGCCCTCCCAAACTATGCACTGATTAATAAACATTAAGTACCCTAGAGGGTTGCACCCCTTCTCTGCTCCAGCTCCTTATTCTGGCGCATTACATCATCGGGTTTCTCCCTGTGCTTTTTACATGTGAAAACAAGCTGAGGGCCACAAAGTTTTCATATTATATATGTAGTAACCTCCCATCCCACAAAAAAGAAAAGAAAAGTTTCTATACTCTGGAATTTCTCATTGCGAGTGGACAATGAGTGGGGGGATGGGGAAAGTTGAGCCTATAGGAGAAAAAGTATGAAAATGCTTAAATCTGGAGCTTCCCTGGAACCCAAAGGAACTCCTGGGTGATATAGGAAGCAAATCTCAATTTAACAGAAGAGGAGATGAAGGAAAATCAAAAATAAACCACCTGCCAGTTCCTCTTGGCACTCGCCATGTGGCCAACACCCTCTATCAGCTTCCTGTGTGAATGACCTGCTCAAATTTGGACTGGGGTAGATCAGACCCCGCCCTCTGGCATCACCTCAGCTCTTCTCCACACCCTTCTCCTGGCCTTAGCCCTGCTCCCTTCTACTCCCCACCCACCTCCACCTCCCTCCTCACTGAGAGAAATCTGATAGCCAAACCCATTTGAATGAGGGGAAATGCCTTTTTACCTCTTTCCCCTTAGGCTCACTTTCTCCTCTGCCTTTTTGTCTTGCTCCTCGCTAATGGGAGAAACCGAGATGCAATGCAGACACTTGCTGTTTTGTCCTTTTATAAAACAGCCGAGGAGACAAGTGATGGTTAAACAATTACTGCAAAGGAATTTAAAGGTTAGTGCATTCGGCATCCTTCTCCATTCAGGTGTACCTACAAGCAGCTGTGCTGCAACTGGAACATAAAGAGCTCAATTTAATTAACACTGACACAGACCCAGAAACGTGCACCAAAGACAGCAAGCTTTAAGAGACTTGTCAAAAGAAATACATTAAAAACATAGCCAGATTCTCAAAGTCATTTATTACTTTGCACATATGATTCAGCTTATTGTTTGGAAATTCAATTTCTGGGCAATAGGCAGCAAAACAATAGGGTTAATAAATAATACAGGTTAATCTTTTACAAGGAAAAGACTGCCTGTATTCTCAATTGACAAAGCTAATTGTCTGAATACAAAAAGGAAGCCCAATTCAAGCAGCTATTGCAGATCATCTCACAAGTCTCATAAATGAATACATTTGGGGAAAAGGCTCTGCAGAGGCTGAGAACAAGAAAACCTCTGCCTAATCACATGGAAAGACCAGTCCCTGAACTTTAGGTTTCCAAAAAGTCTGAGCAGACGGGGAAATTGCATTATGGACAGAGGCAAATTCTTGCTCTCTGGCATCTACCTAGAGCTTAGCAATTGAGTTCCCCTCACCCTTTTCCTGTGTGCCCAGGCAGACTCACAGTGATGGTAAGCTGATGCTACTGGAGCTTGGGAGAAGACAAAATCCCAAAGACCCTAAGACTGGAGTTGCTTTTTTTTTTTTCCCTGATCAGTTTGCAGAATCAATGGGAAGTTCTAATCATTGTGTTTACCCATGATGGGTAAGTTTGGCAATGCCTGGTCCAATTTCTCAGCTGAGGCATTCACTGCGCAGCCCTCCCGGGGTTGACCAATTCTTCAACTAAACTGTACTTCATTAACCCCAAATCATCACAGGGAACAGAGCACTTTACAAAACATACATTTGGGTGAAGTTGGAAGACACTAACATTTGCTCCCCCTCGCTCCGTTCCACCCCCAATTCCAATGTTCGCCTCTCTGTTTAATGATCTCTCTGGCAGGCTCTCAGAAAGAGCTCTCACTTCCAGTCATACATCACCAAGAGGTGGCAAAACCTTCAATGTCTTTATTTCAAGAGGATTTCTTTTTCATCAGGGAAAGGGTCTCATGCATTTACTCTATCCTGAGTAAACAGCTTAAAAAGAGTCCTCTCTATCATTATCTCCACATAAATAAAAATTTACAGACCCCACATTTTTCTCCTGTAAAAATTGCCACTGGCAGTCAGAGGTTTCAAAGGTAAGAATAATATTAATTTCCATTTCTCCCATCTAAAATGACTCGGTGCAGAAGGAAAGAAAAGTCACGGCCATTTCACCAGTAACAGGATTAAAGCATTTATGAGGCATTGCAGCTGCTCTTTTATGGCACCTGATTGATATTCATGTGTGGTTAGCATTTGTCTACTAACTTGTGTAACGCAGAGAATAGTAAAAGGGAAACAATAATTGCATGGCTGTTACATATTCAGGGGGCTCTGATTCACAGAAGTGTGCATTTCAGATGGTATCAGATACAAATCGGACCTACAGGAACATATTTTGACTGATTAGCATGCAAGCACAGATGGCACAAAAGACACACTAGATATGTAGGTGTGTTGAAAGCACACACACACACCTTGATTGAAATAGTAGCATCATTCATTTTCAGCAAACTAAAGAAACAACTTTTTTTTTCAACTATTTCGATGAGACACTGCTGGAAAATAAATTACATGTATATCCTAAATTGGATTCTAGAAATACTTAGACTTACTTATTCTACCCAAATTGTAAGGAAGGGCTTCAGCAAGACCCTCTAATGTGGTTATCAGGAAATCTCATTTAAATACTAGGTGGTATTTGAGTTTCCACATTTCTGTGTTCTCTGTCTCTCTCTCTCTCTCACACACACACACACACAGTCTGCATACACTTCAAGAGAAACTGTAACATAATAGCCCATAGTGACATCCACTGGCAGGGACTAGATCTTAATGCCACAGCAAAGTCCCTTATTAGAGGAAACACCATCAACACCAGATTTTTACTCAAACATCTGGATGCAAAGTCCTATCCCTTACTGGAATGCTTGGTCACCACACCACCAACCAATCAGATATTTGTGAAACATACAGATGTCTGGTAGAATTTCACTTGCAGATGTTTGGGAACTAAATATAAAGCAAGCCAAGAATAAAGTTTTTTTAAAAAAAAAAAATACTAATCACCTGCTTCCCCACACACTCCTGATCTCTCTTCCCTCTGCGTCCTATCTTAGACTTCCACTCCCAGGCTCGCTCTCTCACTGGACAGGACAGCTGCCAGCACTCCTTCTCTTTTCAGTACCTGTCCCCAAACACTGTTATGCTGTGAAATCAAGTTGTGATGCTTGCTGGTATTCCTGGAAATATGAATGTTAATCTCTCTCTCACACACACATACACACTTTTCCTGCCATAACTTCATGAAGACAGCTGTGCAAATTTTAAAATGATAATTGCTTTTCTGCTCAGCATCATTATATAACAGAATCCATTGGAACAGTCAATGATTGTCTTCCAGCAAATTGTCAGATCAAAAGAATTGATCCACTTGGACTACCACAAACTTTTCTCCCTTCCCACAAGAAGCTGTGCTAAGTATTGTGCATGCATTTAAATAGGAAACAGAAACACTGCGATTTTCACACAGAGACGCAGATACATACATCTTATTCATCCAAGACAAAAAAAGGAAAGAAAGAAAAGTTGGCTCTACCTGCAGTTGTAGGTCCGGATCTCTTTGTTGTCTCTCTTGCACTTGATCGCCACGAAGATCATAGTGACAAAGAGGATGCCTGCAATGGAGCCCAGGGCGATGATGAAAATCAGGGACAAGTTCACAGAGCCCATTGACTCTTGGGCGTCGAGAGCAGGAGACAGGTAGATTAGGATAAGCGCAGAGGCAGAGAGCGAGGTCTTGCCATGGTCGTGAGCGACCACAATAAGCTCATAGGACGCCTTGGAGCTTTCGCCAAAGGTGCGAGTGGTTCTGACTTCGCCATTGACCTGATCTATTTCAAAGAATCCGCGGTCACCCTCGGTCATGTCGTAGGTGACTCGGCCATTCTCACCCTCGTCATAGTCGTCTGCCTTGACAACGGTCACCAGGTAGCCTATGCCGGAGTTTCGGGGGATGTAGACTTCAGCTGTGCCATTGATCAGGGGCGGGGCTGTGATGACCGGGGTATTGTCGTTGACGTCGAGGATGATGACCCGCACCGTGGCATTGCTCTGCAGCGAGGGCAGGCCGCCGTCCTTGGCCAGCACCTTGAATTCGAATGCTTTGGTCTGCTCGTGGTTGAAGGAGCGCAGCGCGTAGATGTCGCCCGAGTTGGGGTTGATGGAAACATAGGTGAAGACAGGCATGTCCCGCACCTGCGATGGCACAATCTGATAGGAAACACTGCCATTGAGACCCAGGTCGGGGTCGCGGGCTGACACAGAGAGGAGATAGGCACCGGGCGTGTTGTTCTCCTGAACAATAACCTGGTAGTAGGGCTTGGAGAAGTGAGGATGGTTGTCGTTCTCATCTGTGATGCGCACTGTGAAGGATTTGGCACTCTGCAGCATAGGCACGCCGCCGTCCCGCGCCTGGATCGTGAGGTTGTACTGATCGTGCTGCTCCCGGTCCAGCCGTCCGTCCACCAGGATAGTGGAGAAGCTCTCATACTCCTGCAGCCGAAAGGGCACATTGCCCAGCAAACGGCACTGCACTCGCCCGTTTAGGCCTGAGTCGCGATCAGACACCCGCACCAGTGCAATCACGTAGCCCGGGGGGGCGCTCTCGCTCACCTCCACCAGCTCGCTGTTGACCGACAGCAGGTTGATGACGGGCGGGTTGTCGTTGGTGTCCAGCACGCTGACAGTGACCTTGCAGTGTGCCGGGATGGAGTTGGGTCCTAGGTCCTTGGCCTGCACGTCCAGCTCGTACACGTGGCCCTCTTCATAGTCTAGGGCGCCAGTGACAGTGATGAGGCCGCTGTGCGGGTCGATCTGAAAGAGCTCGCGAGTGCGGTCATTGACGTAGCCATAGAAGGAGTAGACCACTTGGCCGTTGGTGCCCTCATCTGGGTCGCTGGCGTTGAGGCGGATGACAGGTGTGTTGGGAGGTGAGTTTTCAGGCACACTCACTGCATAGGTGGACTCGCCAAACACCGGGTTGTTGTCATTAGAATCGGTCACCTTAATGCTGAGGCCCACTGTGCCGAGGCGTGGTGGGTCGCCGCCGTCTAGAGCAGTGATGCGAAAGCTATAGTGCGACTGCGTCTCTCGGTCCAGGCTTTTCTCCACTACAAGTTCAGCAAATCGGGAGCCGTCGCCGCGCGTCTTGATATCCAGGCCAAAGAGCTCGTTGGGCGTGAGCTCGTACGTTTGCACACCGAAACTGCCTGAGTCTGGGTCATAGGCGCTGTCCAGCGGGATGCGTGTGCCGGGGCTAGCCGCCTCTGAGATTTCCAACTCGATCTGTGCTGCCGGGAAACTGGGCGCATTGTCGTTCAGGTCCTTGATCTCCACTTTAATCACGCAGATTTCCATAGAGCTGGACATGACCTCGAGCGAGATGATGCACTTGGGGCTCTGACGGCACAGCAGGTCACGGTCGATCTTCTGCTTGGTGACTAGCAGGCCTGAGCTGGGGTTGATGTCCACTAGGTGCGGAGCCGAGTTGGACACCACGCGGAAGGCAGAGGCCTGCCGTGGGTCCAGCGCGAAGCCTGCCTCGCGCGCGTCCTTGGCCACATTGGCTATCACCGTCCCGGCGCGCTGTTCCTCCTCTACCGAGTACTTCAGGTTAATGAGGGCGGCCGCCTGCGTCCACAGTACGGCCAGCAGCAGCAACACCGGCAGCAGGAGCGACTCCATGGCTGCGCGGGGCTCTGCCTGGCCTCGCCTCTCCACACCCCTCCGAGACCGACGCCGTCGGCGCTCCAGCTTCCCGCTGGCTCGGGCCGCCTGTTGCGCGCGTCCCGGGGCCCCGGAGGCCGCGGGAGGAGTCCCGCCCAGGGCGGCCCGGCGGCGCGGGGGAGATACCCGCGCCGGCTCCAATGCTGAGGTGGCGGCAGACTCAGCAGGGGCTCGGGGGGAGCCCGGGGGCTCCGTGGGGCCGAGGGAGCGCCGCGCGGCCCCGAGCCCCCTCCCTCCAGCCCGGCTACTCAGTTTTCCCCCTTCAAAGTTAGCCGGGCGCGACTGGCCGCAGCGGCGCAGGGCTGCGGGTCCGGTGGCTTCTGCTCGGTGCTGGCGACGCGCGGCAGGGTCCGGACCGCACTTAGAGCAAAGGCGGGGAGAGCAGGAAGGGCGCAGCCTCTCAGACACTGCCCGGCCGGCCACGGCGCACCGGCACTGGGGCTGGCGAGCGGGTTGTCTGTGCACCTGGCATGCGCAAGGACCTCCCCCCAGCACTCGCTGCTCACTGCGGAGAGAGGACTTGCCTATAACGCGCCCTCTGGGATCTGCAGGGGGGGCACGCCAGTCTCTCTCAGGCCTGTTGGGGAGGAAGGGGGTCGCAGGCGTGAACCTGAGTTGCTGGCGAGTGCTACCGGCGCCCAGCAACTCGACTGAGCGGGATGGCGGTTCTGGGGTCGGCAGAGAAGGGGGGAGGGGAAGGAGGCTGCCGAGGCGAGAGCGCGCTTCCCTGCTCTGAGGTTGGCTTCAGGGGGCTTTAGGGGCCAGTCTGTCCAGGATCCGAGGTGGGCGCGAAGTCCTCCCTACGGGGCAGTTGAGGGGGAGAGGGCGTTTGGGTCTCGGAAATGTTACCAATGCAGCCCGACCCTCCACGTCAAGTTTGTGAAAACGGGGCAATGGCAATTTGTCCCAGAAAATCAAAGTCCTAGTCTTTCCAGTGGCCCGAGGGGCGGGGAGTAAGGAAAAGGGGAGGGGGAAGCGACAACAGTACCGGCCAGGAGAGGCGGGGCCGCCGCCGCGGGTACCGGGGCTTCTCCTCCTCCCTCGGTCTGGGCTAGGGTGTCGCTCCGAGGGCCGCCGCCACCGCCGCCGCCGCCACCGCCGAGGGAACAAGCCCTCCTAGTTCAGTCGCATGTCTCCAGGGTCCCCCTCAGCAGCTTCCGCGGTCGATGATTCTGTCGCCGCCAAAGTTTACTTGCGGGAGCGTCTTGATTCCATCCTTCCAGAGAGGCGCTGGCCACGCTGCGCTGGGCTCCTCTCCCGGGCGCTCGCGCACTCGGGAGATCTGTCTTGGGCTGTATGTGAATGTGTGTGAGAGAGTAAGAGTGAGTGTGTGAAGTGTGAATGTGAAATTTGAACGGGCAGGAGGCGATGGGTTTGGGATGGGAGGTTTGGGATCTCGGATGAATCCGCTCAGCAGGAATGTCTCGGAGCTCTACGCGCCAGGGCCCCGCGCAGGGCTAGGGATGAGGGTGCCAGTGTCCCCCGGGCAAGCCGGCCATGGTGCTCGGGAGCTGTGCTGCCGTCTGCGCCCGCTCGTCTGTCTCCCCTCTGCGCCCTCCGCCGCCGCCGCTATTGCTGCTGCTGCTGAAAGCTATAGTGCGACTGCGTCTCTCGGTCCAG